TTTTCACAAAACTTGCATTTCAAGCGAAACTACTAAGTGTATCTTTTTTGGAAATTTGGCTATAAGCCTAATTTTTGATTCTCTACAACTTTTCTATTGACACCAAAATGGGTTTCTTTTGAAGAAAGTGCTCAAACTGGGACATCTCCAGTCCTCCATTTTTGAGTCTCACACTTGTCTCACACACAAACCAAAATCCTACGAAAGAGGAATCCGCAAATTGCCTGTAAAATGGGCAGAAGTCATCAATCATAATGGAAATTATTTCGAATGAATTCATGGTTTTATTTTTCAATAAATTTTAGCTCAAAGTCCGGCAGTTTTCAATTCACCAACCCAAAATTTGAATTGTTTAGTATTAGTATTTATTGTTTGATATCAGACGAATATTACTATAAGCTTGTCAATAGACTTGGCAAGAGTTAAATCCTTTAACAGAGAACACACAGTATTCCTTTCCCCATAGTATTGACACCAATCCGAGAGCAACGGGACAACCGAGTTGAAGCCATGGATATTTGTGGAAACGATGATAATAGAAACCATTGAATGATAGGGCAATGAAGCGATTCAACGATAAGGCTACAAGAAAGTATGAGGAGATCGATGTTGGAGTGAGTGGTTACCGATTTGAAGAAAACCCGAAATGTTCACACTTGGCTGCAGGAAGAACACTATCCACTCAAAAACCTCATTTTCAATAGTATAGGTCCGTAGAAATGGAATGCTAAAAAGAATAAGATACTTTTATCGATTACACAGTTGTTTTTAAGCTTCTGGCTTCTTATTTCTTTCTTCTTGCTTCGCTTTCATAACTATAAAAAGCTTCTATACTTCTCGTTTCCGACCCGATGTTTCTTTGCTTATTTAGGTTAACTTTATACTTTTTTTCCTTTCATCTTATTCTAAGCTAGCCCAAAATGGTTCTTAACATGGTTGGATATAAGGTAGAGAACGGTCTTATACTTGTAATTGATAAGTATCGAGAATTTCTATTATTTCGATTAAATTTAAGCTCACAATGTTGAAAGCACACGATAGAAACCGATGCTTTGAAGTATCGCGAAGACACAACGGGCCAACGAGTCGCCGATCAATAGGAGGCGAACGACTTTCAAAAGAATTCGACTCTTCCAACAAAACCACACACCGATCAGGTTGACAAAAATCGAGGCAAAAACACACTGGAAAATCTTTGCTTTTTCGAATCTTTGCTTTTTCGAATCTTTGCTTTTTCGAATCTTTGCTTTTTCGAATCTTTGCTTTTTCGAAAGGCGAAAAGCCTACAATGAAGTGAATACAAGTGAAAACGTGGCGAAGATCCTGATGTCGACTGCTGCCATTCATACTTGCCGCGTAATTTGTCATGTTTGGTAGAAAAAAATATATTAAAAGTATCATCGCTAAACGGTCAATGATCAGAATTGAACACCTAAAAAAACTTACCGAGAATCAAGAAGAATGTGGCGATGATAACAAATATTTCAAGACAAAATTCACGTGTTGAATGCACTTTTATTGATCGCGATTGTTGCTGTTGCAAAATTGGATTTGTTATGACCATTGATCAGAATATATGGGATATTTTACTTAGGCAAAAAGAATAGAGTGATCTTTTTTTAGAGGTGATTCTCCAAAAAGCTTAGCTTATCAAAAAGAATAAAAAAGAACTGTCCCATACAAGTGAGGAGAGCTGTAATTAGAGCTTTTGATGTCCCAGAAAATTGCCGTCTTGCCGATAGAAATTTCTTGAGATCATTTTTATCTTTTAAACGTTCATAAGTTTAACTCAAAAAAATATGGGCAATAGATTCTTGTAAAGTTTAAAAAGTAAACAACTTCTGTTTTCAAAGAGAAAAAGCCAGAGTATTTAAATAAACTTTTTCTTTTGGGCAATTCATAATTAAACTACACCTTACCAAGACAAATCTTCAAGAAAAGCCTGTTCAGAGTTTTTTTTCCACAAAATTCCACCAAAACTTTATGATTTAAAATAAACATTAGGAAGAACTATTAAAGAAAAACGTTTTCATAGAGTATCGGTATCAAATCGCAAGCCACATTGACGTCAAATTGGAAAGAGTAAAAAGGAAATTTGCTCATTGCCATTCGATTTATATTCAGCGATCTGAAATTAGTGAGTTCTAATTCTACTTTTGAATACTTACTGAATATTTCTCGATATTTTCTTAGGTTGCAGAAGTTCGGGTAGGCAAAGAGTCGAGTTTAAAAATATTGATCGTTAAATTGGACTTTTCTGCCGAGTTTCCACCCAGTAACAAATACGAGACGAATACTCGGCCTAGCACTGACAAGGAAATAAGCTCGATCATAACTGTGTGAGTTTTTGTTACCGAGGATCTAATTATATTAGTAATTTTTGAAAAGTCGTCAATTGTCTGTGTGCCATTAACCAATACGCATTACTTGAACCAGCTTCAATGACAACAACAACAACAACAACAACAACAATGGCAACAACACTAGATCGAGGCCACTCGTTCAGGAGTACAAATTGGCTACACTGGTTGGGAAATTTTTTGAAAAAAGTTTCCGAAACTTTAGAAAAACCCAATTCTCTAGATGATCGTCAGCATGATCACGGCGCTTTTGCTGTGGGCGGTGAACTTGGGCCCCTCCTTAATGCCCACTCAATACAGTTATTTCTTGTTTCACACGGTTGTCTACATGCTTTGCTTGCTTGTTAACAGGTGAGAGTCAATCTTGTCTTTTTGAAAAAGCGTTCAATCTTGCCGTCATTTTATTCATGAAAGCGCTTTCAGTATTGCATATTCTGTGTTGTTACGAGGTAGGAAAAGAGCAAGTACAGCGGTGGCAGTTAAACCCAAAAAATGTGTCTCGATTGCTTACTCTTTACATCTCATCTTTTACCCCATTCGCCTTTTCCATTTAGTTCCCATTTAGTTCTCATTACCTCGTCGTCTCTCACATTTATAACTCGTTAAATTTGCATGATCACATTCATGAAAGCCTCGGCTAAATTCTTTTCTCAAAATCTTCCCGAAAAACACTAAATTTTAAAACCACAAAACTTCAATATGATTCTTTGATTTTAAGGGAGTGAGACAAATGCGCTGAAGTGATTTGTGAGGTGAAAGGCGAAGAAACTGTTGGCAAAACTGCTGCGACCGAGTGCTACCGAGCGTGGTGAACCGCGACCAGTGAATCCCCGGCGCAAAAACTCTAGACGAGTTTGTTCGTGAAGTGAATCCCATTAAAGAGAAACAAAAAACTGCACTGCGACCTGTTAGCAATGGTTTTTTACTTCTACAAACGAAGCTCACCATTTTTTCCAAATCCTTCAAGCCGCCTTGATCGTTTGTGAGGAATTTTCGTTTTCTGAGAAATGGAAGAACGAGTACGAGCACGAAATCGGGTTCTTCCTTTTTCTTTGCGGTTTTCGAGCTCTTTATTAAAACAGTTGACGCTCGATAAAGTGGAACTTTTTTAAAATGTTTTAATAAATTCAAAAAAGTTGTGATCGAAGTCAATGCTGATAGAGAATGCACAAATAAAGTAAAAATGGGAAATGAGTTGAAGCTAAAGTGTGTTTCTTTCAAGTCATAAGGCAAAATCAGAAACAGAACTTGTCTGAATATTTTTAAAACAAAGTAATATTCAGTCCATGTTCTTTCTATTTTGCACTATTACTTGAGAGGAACACAGTTGAAGCGTTCTAGTTGAAGCTTTCTAGTTGAAGCGTTCTAGTTGAAGCTTTCTAGTTGAAGCGTTCTAGTTGAAGCTTTCTAGTTGAAGCGTTCTAGTTGAAGCGTTTCATGCTTTATTTCATCATGATTTATCAAAGAATGTGTCAACTCTTCATTCCACATGGGAAAACCTCCACTATATTGTGGAGAAAAGTTTGAAAATAACGGGTTCTCCTAGTGCTTGATTTCCAGCATAATTTTGTCGTCTTAAGATGAGTGAGATTTCGAGTAGTTGCTTTCCTTTTGGAGAATTTCGAAACTTCTAGCCGAAATGGGACAGAGTATAGCCACCAGCTCCCCCTCGTTTTTCAAAGGGTCGGTTCTTCACGTATCATTGACTAGCCACCAACAAAATGCCGAGATTTGCATCACCACCAGCTTGCGTAATCACGTTCATCTTCTCGGCGGTTTCAGCCAACCCGAAAGCTCTCGGGTTCGTGTCGGCTGCTACGAGCAGAGCATTTCGGTCGGAGAGGAGTTTGATGGCCCTTGGCTTTCCCCCTCTCCTCTGTGCCCTCTTCCAAAGCTCCAGCACTTGATGGTTGAGCTTGACTTGGACAGCGATGGTTTTCTTGTTGAGAGTGGGCGGCTTCGTCTTCGCGGGCTAAGGTCGAATGTACACAAAGTCCTATTTTTCCAAAAATTACCTTTAAATACTCCGCCAGAAAGTTTGTTTTATAAAAAAATTTGCATGCAAAGATTCTGACTTGGCTAGAAATCTAAAAGGGAATCATTTTTTATTCTGCGCGCTTTTTGTATACTCAGTTTATTCAATTTGCATATGACTGTGCTGAATTCGTCATACCCTTTTACAGGTTTTGTTTGTCAAATTTTTTATTTCTTTCTTAAATATCTCGTTTTTAGAATGCCTACTCGATGTTCACTGGATTGCGTGCGCGTTTGTGCCAATTGGTGAGCATTTTCCTGTTATCTAGGCTAGCCTTTTGTTTAAATTTCATTGGGTTAACATTTTCCTCTTTAGGCGTGCTTCTCATCGCGTCGTTGGCATTGTTGACGTGCAAAAAAGTCGAAAAACAAGGCTAATTTTAAGTATCTTTGTCGTAAAGTGCGTTTTTTTAGGTTTTTGGAATCGACTCGTTTCCTTTGTGAATCGAGTAAATTTAGATTTTTGAATAGAAATTATATAACAATCTTTGCTTTTTTTGTATAACAATTTAGAATGAAGCCGTGTCTAGCCAAAGCCAGAAACAACACAAGACGCCGACCAACAACACCATCAAGAGCAAGAGTCAATACCGAAAGGTCAACAGAATGGCACCAACGGCACCGCGTACGTTTGTTGCCGCTAAATTTTGATTCATTTAATCAGCTAATTGATTGAATAACGATTATTAGTTTAGCATAATTAGACTTGAGATTAACCCGTTAAGAGCTAGAGATGTAACCATTTGTCTAATTTGTTTGCTTTAGCCATGATCATGACCACTCATCGTGTCGAGAAGTCTGAGCGCGTTTCCGTGCATGCACAAGCTACTGAAGATAATATGGTAAGCTATTTGATTATTAAAATCACCCTTTTCTTCGTTTAGACTGAAGCTCGATCAAAGAAACCGACAAAACCGAGAAAAAAAGAAGGTATTTGATCATTTGCATCTTCTATTCTTTATTCTTTGTCATTTTAGCATTCAACTGGCTCGCTCGATCAATTCGATGTGACGCAACAAGAGAAAACTATCGATATGGTGGGATTTTTTATAGTTTTAGCCTATAAATTTGCGACTTGATCAAAATTCAATTATTGTCCAACTATCAGTGATTCTTTCCATTTACAGGAACGAGGCGTACACGTGTCTCATCATCCGCTGCGCCCGTCACTCACTCAAACGTCGCCCGACAAAATCACGCCCACGCCGAATAAGGGGCCGACACCCAACAAAGCACCGACGCCTAACAAAATCACGAAAAACACCCTTACTTCAGAAGGTCAGCTCCTGAAAGTTCTTTGAAAGCTAATAAGTTTATATTCTCAAATTTGCTTAAATCTATTAATGATCGTTTTTAGAATCTATTAATGATCGTCGCGCCGAATCATTCAGCCGAGAAGGAATCGAAAAAAGAATGATCTTTTGGAAAGTTTAATAAAATGTTTTCTCGTCTTTTAGGTCCACATTAAAACCCAATTGGTCCGTTGTTTGGAAAGGTTTTGTCGTGTTCTTTAAGCATTTTGTTTTATGTATTTTAAATCTTTACTAAACGACCGTTGGTTTCAATACTTTGAAAGCACCTGGATGCTTTCAAAGCACTATACTTGAAGGATTGAAAGTGTCGCTGAAAAAGTACATGTTGCTTGTTGATCATGCCGGGCACATTTTCGACACAGTACAATACAATATCCATTCAATAGAGTACCTCTGAAATCCTTGGGTTGTTGTAGTCAAAGTTTAAAGCTGTTTAAGTTTTTTTGAAAGTAACCTGCAAATTTCATGTACAGGGTGCAGCAAAAGTTCGGAGCCGCTATGAAAACATTGCAGAAAATTTAGCTCACGCTTTTTTTGTGTCTCGTATACTTTTTTTCCTTTTTCAAGTATATCTAAGGTGATTTGTTACAAAAATTTTCTTTTCAGCAGACAATACGAAAGAATGAACACCAAACAACGACGCGATGTAATTCTCGGATTATACCAAGGCGGAAAAAAATAGCCCCGAGATTGTAAAAATCACAAAATATCCAAAAAGCACCGTCAACAAAGCAATTACTCCGTTTGGGCTATTTTGAAAGGCTATTTTGAAAGGCAAGATCTCGATGGAGACGTATCAAACAGTGGATGCTTTAAAATCTGCTCTGAAAAGAGCCTGGGATGAAATAACTGTTTAAGAGTGCGCCACCATCGTGAGGAACTTCCCAAAGCGTTTAAAGAGGTGTATCGAAGCGGATGGTGGAAATTTCGAGCATTTGTTATAAGTTATTTGTTGTTATGATTCGAATAAAAAATTTGTTATTAATTTTTAACTTTTTTAAGCTAGTTTTTAAACCATTAACTATCTTAAGAAGCGGCTTCAAACTTTTGCCGCACCCTGTATTTTCTAATCAATTGTGTGATTGTATTTTCAGAACGTTTATTGCTTCTTTATGTAAAAGCACCTGCCACGGAAACACCTGCGATCATTGAAAATCGGAGAAAACCGGGGAGCACGTCTCGAGAATCACATGCAATTATTGAAAAACGCTTGCGAAAATTCCGTAATTTCAAAATCAACAATGTTAGACGATCCGCTTGTTCGGTGGTTTTATCATTTCCTCTGCACCATTTCCACTCTTCTCTCCACTTTTTGGATGTGGATCATTTTGAGTCATTCGCCAAAAGAAATGAGAGATTTCAAGTGGCTTTTAGTGAAGTTGGCGGTGAGTTTATGTGTTGACAAAGCTGATTTTCTGGTCAATATTTGAATAGAACAGTTGTCTAGCTGATGGAAGAACTCTTTGGGATCTTGATCGGTTTGATTCTCGTCGTCGACCCGTTGTTCCCAGCACCAGCCGGTGCTGTTCTCGGCCTCGCTGCCTATTTTGGAGAACTTGGAGCTCGTTTAGCGGTTCGTGTCACTCAAATCAATCAAATCACAAAGACGAATTCTAGATGGGCCTTGGCTTTTTCTTCGGAATGTCAATTTCTTCTCAATCAACAATTGTGTCCGAATGCGGGCAATGGTGATCAACGGGCGAGAGGATATTGTGAGATCCTGTGCAAAACCGTATATTGGTACAAAAACATTTTAATAATTTTAGCGGGCTTTTTCAGGTATTCCTATCACAATGGGCTTCAAGTTGGTGATGGCTTGTCCTATGCTCGTTTCCAATGTATCTCGCACTCGAGGATCCCAATGTTTGTGAACTTAATTACGAAAAAATCTATTTCAAAGGCTTGGCTTTGTTTAGCGACAACATTTGCTGAATAAATAAACTCTTCACTTGTAGCTTTAGGGTTAATAGCTTCTCCAATGGTTTACCGTAGTGTTGAACTGGTTTTTCAGATGTTTCTCGAGAGAATGAAGCTCACTGATGACTATCAATACATTGCGTCGTACGCTCAGCGAAGTGATACGGTCTGGTTGTGCATGGATACATCGTCCACATGGGGGATGACTTTTATTCTGGTATGATATAATAGATTGAAAATTTCTACCGTAATCCTACCGTAGTCTTGAAAGATTAGCGCGTGTTTCTCTCGACATTTATGTGTCGTAGCCGATTATGAATGAGTGGGTCTAAGAGCGTCAGCCATCAAGTATTTGGTATCGTTCAACGCAAATCATTGATAATTATGTTAATTTTTTAAAATTAGAAAGATTGGATAAAAGAAAAAAATTATGGGGCCTCAAAGTTTCCTCTTGAACAAATAGTTTTTTGCTCTAATTTTTTTTCTTTTTATCAAATCTTTCTAATTTTAAAAAGTTAACATAATTATCAATGATTCTGCGTTGAATGATACCAAATACTTGATGGTTGGACGCGTCCCGACCCACTCATTCATAATCGGCTGAAATTCATAATCGGCTACGGGGGTTCCCGCCGATTTTGAATGAAACGTTGTAGCGCCGGCAATTTTACCCTAAACTCACAAATTTGGTACCAATCGACGCAGAATTGAATTCGCTACGAGATGATATAATATTGTCCATCATACATTAAAGGGTTGCTCTACTAGAAAGATTTGCCAAAAAATTTCATTCATAATCGGCTACGACATAGGCATTTCTAAATCATGCCAAGTTTTGAAACCACCGTAAACTTCTCTCGAGTTTTCAATCTTTATTCTAGCAGTTTTTAGAAAATTGATTTCGCGTTTTCTGCAACCGTTTTAGTCGAAAAGGACCAATTAATTTTGAATTTTGGGACGCAAAAATAGTACAAGTTTTGCTATATTAGGGTTGGCAAATAAGTCTGTTTGTTCCTTTTCGTACTTCCGTTTAAAACCAACAAATACACCAATTAACCTATGGTTTACTTTAAATAAAAAGTGTTTATTGCTCAATTTCCCATCTGTTTAAACCAATTTGGACTCACTTTATAGCAAATTCAAGACTGGAAACGTGCTTTTCGCGTATAAAAAATCTCTAAAAGCTTCTACAAAGAAATTGGCTGAATGAATTTCTCTGAAAATTTGGCTATTTACCCGACTTTTTACACTCCAAAAATGAGAAATTTTGAACCCGTTTTAATGTATTTTGCAGAAAAATGATTAATCTTTCTAATGAAACAAACAATAGTTCGTTTGGTTGTAACAACAAACAAACAAACAATTGGTGTATTCGTTGATTGTAAACGGAAGTACGAAAAGGAAAGAAAAGACTTATTTGTCAACCGAATACAAACTATCCACCAGTGATCTAATCTTTCATACCAACTAACAACTTGACTTGACTTTAGGTTGTTCTTATCGGTCTAACTCGGTATGTATGTGGTTAATGTTGTCGCTTCGTTGAACTTATTTCGCGGTCTTCGCTCTCATCAATCTCTAATGTCCAAAGGCACCTACAAGGCTCATCTCGCCATTTTCTACATGTTACTCTCTACAGGTGATAAAAGACTAAAACCGGCCGGCAATTTTCTATTTTTTCAAGTATCGCGAGACTAAAGTCTGTCTTTTTCCAGAACATTTACCCGGTTTTGTCATGATTCTCCCCGTCATCCTCACTGGCATCAGCTTTACGATCAACGAACACACGCTTTTAGCGTCAATGTTTACAAACATTACATCTACATTGGATTGATTATCTATCCCGTAAGCTGAACAACTGAACACTTTTTGTCAACATTTCCAATGTCTCCATTGACTCATTTAGGCGATGAGTTGCATTGTCTCAATTATGATCATGAAACCGTACCGTACCTATGTGAAGCGGCACATCTTTGGAATTAAAGACCTACCCAGGACAGTCGAGCCAACGTTAGCATAAGTGGTGCAAGGTTTGGCTTGATTAAAGCCTTCAATTAACTCAAGGGAAATTTCTAATCTCAAATTGAACTGGAAACTTATGATGATTTTAGCCAACCTCAGAATCTTTTCGATTAAAATAATCTTGTAAAAAAAAATTTTTCAGTTACAGTAGACTTGGTCAAACGAGATCTTAGACTGAGACTTACATGGACCAAAATTGAGACTTGTCACTTTTTATGAGCTTTTTCAATTCATTTTTGTTTGTTAAAGTCAGAAAACAAATTTCCGAATATAGATTTGAACAATTTAACAATGAAAAAAATAACAAATTTAGCTCTCGATCTCGTTAAGCGCTCGTTTAAGCCAAGTCTAAGTTGCAGTAACCATTTCAGACTCACTCGAAGCAGTTTATCGTCAAAAGTCCGCCCCGTAATGAACCATCGATCGACCAATAGAAGCTTCTCTACTATGTGAACCAATAGAGCTTCTCTGCTATTGTGTGTATAAAAATAAAATCAATCCGATAGAAGTTGAAGTTTTTTTGAGATTAAAGAAAGCAAAAGGGAAAATGATCTCGGTCGGGATCGAACCGCCGACCTTCTGTGTGTTAGACAGATGTGATAACCACTACACCACGAGACTGGATGAATTTCAAGGTTTTCACTTGCCAATAGTCTCTACTTTACTGAGTCATTAGTTTTATTCACTTTGCTATCGTTGTTGGATCTACCCAGGACGCTCAGCATAAGTAGTGCAAGGTTTTTCTTGATTAAAATATTCAATTTGGTAAAAACATTCAGAAGATAATGCTAAACTTGAATTCAACTAGTTTTAGATGATGATTCTAGCCAACTTTACAAGTACATTGAAGCTGTCATTTGTTGTAAAAGTCTAAAATCTGATTAGCAAAATTTTGTCGAAATTTTCCACCTTACTACCTTTCCAGATCGATTCGTAAAAGTTTACCTCCAAAAATTCC